GGTTGGAGGCAGTGATTGGAAGCATTATATTCGGAGGAAACCTCATGTTGTTAAAAGACGAATTAGAAAAGGAATTCCTGATTGCCTGAGAGGACTTGTTTGGCAGTTGATCTCAGGAAGCCGAGACCTCTTGTTGATGAACCCAGGAGTGTATGAGGTAGTGCACTAACTTTTTGAAATCTGTCCTTCTCTTTTTCTTCTCAAGCCTCAGTAAATGCATTTGCTGATAACATCATATTCATGCCAAGAAGTGCCAGTGCATTCTTTTGCTTGGAGGTCCACAATTTTACTTCAATTTTAGCTACACCTACCTGCTCCCTGACATGCTTTTGAAATGTGATTATATTGCTTTAAGAAAGTAGCTCTGATTCTCTGGCTGAGAAAGATTGCACCCTTTGAATGATCTGTCCATTTGACTTCTAGGAAGCGGTTCTATTTCTTCTTAGACGGGTCATTTTATTTACCATCCCCTGGTACTTGGATCACAGACCAAGTTTTGTCACTTAGCTGATGTTTATCTAGCTGAAATGCTTTGTTTTGGGTGATACCGTAAATCAGTGGTTGACATTGGAGTAAACAGGTTAGTTTACCTAGTTTTAATTACCTACTTTGTTTTCAAAAAGGCATCCCATTTTCTTAATACCTGACTATATCACTGGGTAATAGTTGCTTATTCTGCTTTCTTGCCAAATGTTAGACGAGCTATATTCTTGTCTGAGCATGTAGATGTCAAAGGAATTTTATATCCACAATTATTTTGTCTTTCCTTGCTTTTCCTCACCCAATTGATCTACTCTTTTGAGGAATTGATGGAGTTAAATTTTTTAATCACAATCCTGTTGTGTGGCAAATTTGATTCTTGTTAATTTTAACTGTCATAGTGTCACATTCTGCTTCATGTCTTAATGATGATGTATCAGTTTTCATTCTAGAGGTATCCTAGCTGTATGTGTTGATTTCAATTTGTTCCTGCGATTGTGATAAAAGTTTTATTTGTTGCAGCAACTAGTCATTTATGAGACATCAGCTTCTGAGCTGGATATTATACGAGATATTTCACGGACGTTTCCTTCACATGTTTTCTTCCGGCAGAGGCATGGACCCGGTCAGAGATCACTTTACAATGTGTTAAAGGCATACTCTGTGTTTGACAGGGATGTTGGATATGTACAGGTTTATTCTGGTTAACCCGGAAATCATTTATCTACTTCTCTTGGAGACAGAAGAATAAGAAAATGTTTTGACTGCAGGGAATGGGATTTATAGCAGGTCTCCTGCTTCTTTATATGAGTGAGGAAGATGCATTTTGGTTGCTGGTGGCCTTACTTAAAGGAGCTGTCCATGCTCCCATGGAAGGTTTATACTTGGTATGTATTGAACTCAAAATGAATGAATTTGGAGTCGACATCACATGATCTAAGATTTTTGGTGTGGAATGAAATCCTTTATATATTTCAGAGAATACATGTTTGGTTAGTGTCTAATCGTTTTGACTTGCATAATCAGGTATTCGGTAATAATTCAGTCATGGGCTTTTATGCAATGCATTGTGAGTTTTTGCCATATATCCACCTGAAAACTTTATTTCTGCAACAAAAAAGCATTTTTCTTTTCAAGTTGTAAGAAAAAGCATTGTCCATCCGCTTGATTCTTTCCATGCCAAGGATGCCTGGGAATGTGCTATTTTTTTAAGAGCTATAGTTGAGACTTCAAAAAAAAGTGCTATGCCAGCACATGGCAAAAAAGCTTGATTTAGCATCTATCGTATAGCTTTAGGATCTTAATAGAATGCCCTAATTTTTTGCCCACTTTACTATTGATCTGGGAAACAGCATGTTAGAAACAAGTTTAGCTTTTAGTTGAGAATTGCCTACTCTAATGATATTGCAACTGAATTTTTTTTTCTTTTTTTGGTTGACTGTTAAAGAATTTCAGGGAGTAAAAGTTTTAATGGCTGTTCAATTTTCTGATGTCTCTCTTAAAAAGATGTTCGCATAAACTTTTGGTACCATAGATGAATATAAACAAAACTACCAGTTGTTATCCCGGTAATGAAAGGAACATCAGGAAATGGCATCTTTTTGAAGTGTTAAAAGTTGCTTTTATTGGTTTCAGTGGCCCTTGTTGATTAAACCACCCAGATTCTGTAGCTAATCAGCTTGGCCATCGCAAACACCAAATTACTCTTTTCAGTGTGTTTTAACTGTAATGTCCTATGTTTCAACTAGCTTAAGAACTCTTATGCATGTGGAGCAGGCTGGACTGCCTCTTGTACAGCAGTATCTTTATCAATTTGATCACTTAGTGAAGGAGCATCTGCCAAAGTTAGGGGAGCATTTTTCTCAGGAAATGATAAACCCTAGCATGTATGCTAGCCAGTGGTTCATCACTGTTTTCTCTTATTCATTCCCATTCCATCTGGCTATTCGTATCTGGGATGTCTTTCTTTATGAGGTTAGTAACCAGTTGCTTATTTCACCTTTCCATTGTTAAATGCCAACCACTGATCTGATCTTTGTTGATAGGGTGTAAGGATTGTTTTCAAAGTAGGTTTGGCTCTCTTGAAATATTGCCATGATGACCTGGTACTTTTCCATTGTCAAACTGAAGTTGTATCTGTCAGCTATAATTTTGTTGTGCTTTCACTGGAGCCAGCCCATGGGAGCCTTATGCACTGGATTTAAGTCTTGCTTATAGTTGAATATTTCAACAGGTAAAATTACCTTTCGAGAAACTCATACATGCTTTACGTAATTTCCCCGAGGATGCCTTGAATCCAGATGTGCTATTACCACTGGCCTATTCAACTAAGGTTCTCTCCCTCTCTCTCTCTCTCTCTCTCTCTCTCTCTCTCTCTCTCTCTCTCTCAATAGATACACAGACAGCAAAGATACATGTAGTCATATTGGCTATTGCCTACCAAATGTTATTCGTTTGATGTCACAATTGGGCTATTTTATTTCTCCAGAAATTTGTGAAATTGTGACATGCTCATAGAATAGTTAATTACTCTAGTATGATGACCATCTGTGGAAAAATTGCTTTAGTGTACATCTGGAAACGAAGTAACTTTTTAAAGTTTTGTGCACCCTATGGAGCAACCAACTTAGCTCCAACCTTTATGGACTGTTTTACATATCAAAGAACTTTTTGCTAGTTAGTGATCATAGTCTGAAATCTGGAACCCGTGAATGTTGGATATGTCACCTTGTCCAACATCAGGAAATTGACTTGACAGGTGCCTGTTTTATGCTTTATTGCACTATCTCTTCCTCACGGGGACAGTAATTTAGGACATTTGGAAAACTTTCCAGCTTTTCTCCTTAAGAGGATGGCAATCATGATAAAATGATTCTTCTAATAACATTCAACGTTAACTGCTGTTGATCGTTTCTGTGAGACAACTTGCATTTATACCATTGAAATTTGTGGAATTTTCGTTTTACTGTACTTCTTTGCTAATAGGACACCTATTGCAGTCTCAGTATATTTGGTCGCCTTTGGACATTTGTAAATGATTTTCAATAAACAGAGATTTCCTTCTATCCATTAATTAGATATATTTGTATTTGTATTAGTCTGTTCAATTTGCATTTGTAATACTTGATTCATTATTAGGTATCGAGAGGTTTGGATGTACTGAAGCAGGAGTATGAAAAGCAAAATGGGAAGCAAGCTGAAGCGAATAGGAAGCAGGGATAACAGCAATCCTGAGCAAGGAGGCATCGGAATCAAGAGAGAACCTGAGTCGCCTTTGTATATAAGCAACCCTGAGCAAGGGGGCGTCTGAATCGACAGAGAACCTCGGCCAATGTTGTACATACAAAACTATTATTTGTTTGGATTCTGAAATCTGCGTTTGGCTGGTGTACATACCGAGACTTGCATTTAGTCGGCCGGTTGGAATTTACTCATAATCGACCGCGATTGTTTGGTTTGATTGATGGACCCTTTGGGAGTTTCTCTGCTCTCATTGGGTCGTGTATAGCAAGCATGACCTTGTGTGGCATTGAAGGCCCCAGTTAGTAAATTAGTAGAATAGAAATGCTGTAATCAACGGAGAAACTAGTATGGCAGTGTTTGTTGAGATTTTTTTTGATTCAGCATAATGCATTATCCCTTTCACGATTTGTTCGAGTATATGCATAAATTATATCGAAAAATTGGTCTTGCATGTGTACAGGTCACTAGTATGAACTGAATCATTGTTAGAATAACCTTGCGATATAGTCAGCGCATGATTATATGCATAGGCTAATAACTGATGACAAGAATGATTGTTACCCATTTATTGAAAGGCAATGTAGAACTTAGAAGCTGAGCCTGTGAAAAGGAACCTAGAGGCATTGTCCCTGAGTTTTCAGTTTTCAGTTTGACTTGTTTACAGCTCCTACCACAGGAAACTGCTACAAGAATCCAAAGCACAAAACCCCTATCTGTTGGAGGAAGGACTACTGGACTACAGGTAGTGATTTATCTTGTTAGCAGTAGAACTAGCTCCGGTTATCAGGTATTAATTGGGCATCAGCAAGAGGTCTTGCATTAGCCATCGAAGCATTGATTCTAAGCCTGTCACCCAACCATCTCATCAGCTTTGCCCTTGTATTTTGATGAATTGGATTTTCTCAAGAAACAGAAGGGTGTTCGTCTGTCTGAGAATTGCCATTATTGATTTATTATCTTAACAGCCAGTTTTGGAAGAAGCAATAATGTTCATCCCCCGGGTAGAGCGATAAAAATTAACTGTACGCTTCTTTCCCAATGAATTTCTTGTGAAGAAGCCGACCCAGATATGCACCTTAATATTGAGATGTCACTCCACTTTCCTGACCTGTTTTTTCACATGCATATTAGCATCAGCTTACCATGTGGTTTTCTTATTGATGCTAGTGATGATATCAATCGAGACCTTGATTCGGAGCTGGAGCTGGAGCTGCTAACTATGATGAATGTGCTAACTGGTAGTTTCCTTCTTGTTGACACTTCAATCACTGTCTAAGAAGATATAAGCATATTCATTGAATCAAAACAATGGTTAAACAAGCTGAAATAAAGTCCTGTATCTGTACATAGCCGCTACGATTGTTGAGATTTAAACACACCACCACTTTCATACATAAGGCCAATTCTCTCTTAATCTACTTGCCTTCTTACAGGAAATCATAATGCTTTATAAAACAAAAACAGAATGAATCTGGGAACCCAATCCAAAGGGGAAAAGTAAAAATAGACAATCAAAACTGAATGAAATAAAGAAAAAAAAAAACCAAGAAAAGGCACTTTTCCCCGCCATGTCTCTACACCCTAAAACGCCAATACTTGTAACGAAAGAGTTGAGGATCATAACATCAGATCATGAATTATCAGGTTGCCAATTCTGTAAGAAACATATTTATGTGCGTTGTGCTCCGGATTTTCAGTTGGAGTCCCGTCTCCTTTATGTTCTGTAGTTCCTTTTGCTCTCTGACCTTGGTTCTGGATTGTCACTTTTATCAGTGTCATAATTCTCCCTCTGAGACTCAATCTCAGTACTACCTACTTGAGTTCTTCGGTGCCTTCGATCCTGGGAGATTGAATTGAAAAAGAATGAATACCGTCAGGGCTCGGATGGAGAAACCATATAAATGTAGGAGGAAAGCACATTATTAGCAGAATGAACAACATCCACTGCAATACATAATTTTGCAACAAACACACAAGGAACTCCATGAATGAGCCAATGCTGCAGAGTGATTAAGAATGTGAGTGAAGGGTCTCCTTATTGTGAGGTTGGCACAGGGTAAAGCACAGTGTAAGAAAACCATTTGTCCAATATGATCTTGAATACGTGAGAAAAGGTCATAGGTTATTAGGAAGAAATGTAAGTAAAAGAGGCCACAGGCACAAGTTTGCCCAAAAATGTGGAGAAGATTAAATGAGTGACTAGGTGAACAAGTCCTTAAACTGTAAATTAATGGAAGAAGTAAACCGAGTATGACTAGCGTATGGTTCTAGTCTGGATATCTTCTTAATAAAGATCATATACACTTCGGTTCCAACCAGTACAAAGTTACTCGAGCAAGGAGGGAAGGGTGGAGGGATGGAAACAACATGAACCTAGTTAATACGTTCGTTCTTTCAGTAATAAACTAGAAGGCTAGAAGTAAAGTTGATCATAGAAACTCTGGTTTGAAGAAGTCATAGTGTTTAAACCAAAAACCAAAAGACTTTTAAACTCTTAAGACAGAAAAATCTAAACCAACCTCTCTTGGAATTGGATATTCCTCTGACTCGAGCATACGAACAACCTGACTCATCCTTGGCCTCTTGTCAGAGTCTGGATCAACACATCTCAAAGCAGTCAAAAGGGATCGCTTAAGTGCTCTTGTAGATGGCCTGGATTCAATATTAGGATCCACCACTTCCTCAGAGCGCCTGCTTCCAACCATCATTTTCAACCACTCAACAAGATTCACCTGCTACCACAACAGAACTTTAAATTAAATGAGATGGAAACTTCCAACTATGTTCTGAAACCTTGCTGTATAGCTGAATTATATAAAGCAACTAATGTCTAAAGAAAGCATGAAAGTGAACCATCCAGAAAAGGGAACATAATTACATCCCAATAAAAGACTTTGCACAAAAAGAACTTTCTTGAGGCAACTCAGAGGCATCATGGGTAAGACAAACGAGTAATAGCAAAAAGTAAAGCTATGTACTAAATACATAGCCTTAACCAGAACACGCCATTCTGCATTTCCTTTCCTGGCTTGTCTTTTTCTAGTCACCAAAGACAGTTTCTTGGGATGCAAATAGTGTTAATAAACCAAAAAGATTACACAATAGTGATTTTACATAAGTTGCCCTTGTAGTGCGGTACATACTACAGTCTAAAAATGGGGAGCTTGCTATGTAGGATATCAGATAGAACAATCAAATGCATGCAAGATTAGTCTTGAGAAGATTTAACATAGATAAACAGGCTTGATTAAGTAACTGTTTGGAAAATATAGTTCATGCTGAAAAACAAGCAGAAATGTTTATTGTACAATACCAGAGGAACATCATATCATGAGTATGCCAACATAGCCTCATATTTTGTTTCAAAAATCTACATGATGAAGCTTAAGTGTTGCAACGTTTGCAGGAAATTTGCTTAAATGGATAACCTTGGTTCTATCTGTTGCTCTTTCTAGACTATCAAACAGAAGAAAAGAGAGAAAACTCTAGTGTATAATGAATGGTATTGAGAGTTCAAACAATAATCAGGATTTCAGAGGGTCCATCTTGCAAAAACTCTCTCTCGCACAATTGCAGTAAGTTCAAACTTGAGAAATCACATAACCCATGTCTGAATAGCCTTTAAAAATCGGAAAATGCATTGCAATTTCTAATCCAACAGGATGGGAGGTAGTAATGTGTACCTCTTGTGGCAGCCTACCATAGTCTACTGGATCTCTTCCTGTAATTGCTTCCAAAAGTACAACACCAAAGCTATAGACATCACTCTTTTCATTCAAAAGACCAGTATTTGCATATTCAGGAGCCACATATCTGTGCAGAGATAAGTAAATGAAGGTAAGATGTCCCTCCACAATCATAGACAGTAAGACAACATATTCATTAGCATCCCTGAAAAGTCGAACATCATAAAAACCTGTCTTGCATTTGGATAGAAAAGTAAAAGATTGCTCACCCAAAGGTGCCCATAACCCGCGTTGTGATGTGGCTTTTCCCTGCGCCGAGCAGCTTAGCTAGACCAAAATCAGAGACCTTGGCATTGAAGTCATCATCTATCAGTATATTGCTCGACTTTATATCTCTGTGAACAACTTTTGGCTCAATTGCTTCATGCAAGTAAGCAAGACTGCAACAAATGTATCTAGTTTTAATTAAACAGATTTTGTTTAAACTGATTTTGTTGGACAAATGATACCAGTGTTTCAACTTACGCCTTAGCTGTGCCAAGTAGAACCTTCATCCTGGCCTCCCAAGTAAGATAGCCATGATGGCGCATAGCTCCATGAAGCCATTGCTCTAGATTACCATTGCCGACATATTCGTAGACTAACATCCTGAAATATTGACAGTGAATGAGATTAGTGTTGACAGTGCACATTATTAAAACTATAATACTAATCCTGACATTTTTAGTGGTGCGCTTATGTCACCTAACACATATTTAAACAGAAGAACTCCTAACTCAAAACTAGCTTGAATGGTAGCTCTTGTGATTGCAAGATGATCAAGTCAATTACAATGAGATTTCAGCTTTTGAATCTCAGCTAGCAGGTAGACTATTCACATGTATCAAATGCATGATGTCCGAGTCATGATTATCATTGCATGAAGACTCGAGAATTTGGATCTTAAGCTCATTTATTTAAGAAAAATAAAGAGTGATTAAAGAATGATGAAGCAGATACCTATGAATTCCTTCAATGCAATATCCTAGAAGCCGGACCAAATTTTTGTGACGCACATGCCCAATGGCTTCAACTTCCACTCTGAATTCTTTCTCAGCTTGACCTCTGGTGAAAAGAAGAAAAATCAAGAGACAATTGGACACTTAACAGAAAAAGAATTATGAGAAGGGGAAATGTTGCTATTTGAATCAACTTGTTAAGGCACTCACAAGTTGTTGAGGAGCTTCTTAACGGCCACTGGAGTACCATTAATTAGTTTTCCTCTGTAAACAACACCATATCCACCCTCACCAAGAACATTTTCTTTTGAAAATCGGTTTGTTGCAAGCTCAAGATCTCTAAGAGTAAACCAATGGCCCCAGCCCAAATGCGAAAATTCTGGAAGTCCAGTCAGAGGAGAAGGAGCTGTTATTGGATGCGAATTTTTGTATGCACCAAATGTTCCAGAGCTCCCTTCCTCTCCAGATTGTGATCCACAACCATCTCTTTCAACATGATGAAAAGAACCAGATTGACTGCCGTTATCTGCATTCTTCGTTTTCCCTGTTCCCAAATGGACCAAAACCTTGTCAGACTCTTTATCACTAGATTTGTCATGAATAGTAAGAAGAATCCCTTCACGAGGAGTAAATTCATTTGTTGATACTTGCTCCACTCGCACTTCTTTAATTTCTTTTGAAACTGCCGGTATTTGGCTGAAGGGAATCTGTTCATTAGCTCTTTTTGATTTCTTTCTTGAAGTAAGATAGCATGTCAGCACAAAGAGGATAACTACAATCAATGCCCCAACAATGATTCCAATCAGTTCCCAAACCTTCAGACCAAATATTGAAGTGCTTTTGGATAGCTGAGCATTTAAATCAGAAGCCATCTTCTCTGAAGCCAAAAACAAAAACCTATGAATTAGCACAAGGAACATAGAATTCGCAAATATTAATGGCTCAAGACAAATGACTCTAATGCTCATACTATTGAATATTATAAGACCAAAAACAAAAAAGTTACTTATTTCCACTAGCTCTTTGTTTGGTTGGCATGAGGCCAATATGAGTATGCAACATCTTAGCAGTCTTTTTAAAATCGTGTTGCTGGATAAACAAGACCAAAGCTTGTGGAAACAACACTCAGCAAAAGTTACTCCATGCAACAAGACAGATGCATCTTTTTCACTCTCAATTGATAGATCAAGAACACATAAGTAAAGAAGACCAACTGCAGAAAGCACATTTTCTCCCTACCAAAAAGTTACTTCACGAACATATCCTAAATTTGCTGTTTCACTCTTCACATGAACAGGTAGAACAGATTAAGTAAATGGAAATAATTATAAATGAAAGAAAAGCAGAGCAATGTGATGAGTTCTCGAATTTCTTTACTCGTTCTCAGTTACATACCTTGCGTGAAATGGGATTTGTATACGACCCTTCACAGCATAGATCTCAGACACCCCATAAAAATCCAACCTTTTCTTGGAGAAGCAAACTAAACTGCAACTACAGATCTCTGACCAAAGAAGTCCAAACGATCAATATCAATATCAGCACATTTCCCAGAATCCCAAATCAACACAGGCCTCAAAAGCATCAAATTCAGAGCCAACTGATGGAAATCCAACAGGTTTTTCACAGCATTAACAAATGCAAGTTCAAATCTGAGCTCAGATTCAGTTTTCCAACTCCACCAACTGCCCTGTTTTCCTTGAAAATGCCTTGACCAGATAACAACAACAAAAGGGCTGTACTTGCAAAGAGAGTACAGGTACATAGAATGGTGAAAAATGTTACTAATGACACAATGATAAATGCGATGGTTGTGATGGTGGTGGTGGTGGAATCAGTTATAATACTTGCTAGAAAATGAACAGGATAAATAAGGAAGGATGGAGTTATCAGTGGTAGGTAATAAGAATGTCTTAGAAGAAACAGTAAAAGGGAAGCATGGAGAGGCGCAAGCTAGCCAAACAAACCTCCCCCACCCCCCGGGCCTGGACTTAGGCTGGCACTTTTAATTTCTTGTGAAGATGACTGTTTATCAGAAAAAAAAAGAAATAGTTTTCCAAGGAATTTGCTACAGTTTTTGGGGCAGTCCAGTAACTAACAAGCGCATAGAAAAAGTACAGTACAGTTGAAAATTTAGAGATATAAAATATCTTTTTATGTTTGCAGGTCAAATGTCGGTTAAAATTAGTGCAGTAATTTTAGGAAGATTGTGAGGAGCAGTTTCAGACTGTGTTATGACTGACTTGGGAATGAAGGATGTGAAAATATGAATTGTGATGAGGGAAAACAGTGGTGATGAGGGAAAACAGTAGAAAGACGACTACTTTTGTTGCAAAAGTAAATGACTATATCACGACCAGAATTTTTCATTACTCCACTCTAAAACTGATTAATGACTGTTACTATTTGGTAGCTTTTATTGCATTCTTATAACTTAATCCCCCTAAAATAGGCTGTAATTTTGCTTGCTTCCATGGAGAAAGAACCAATAGCTTCTGAACAGCATGATGACCCTTGAGTTCAAGACTCATTTTAGTGAGTAGATTGTAATATAGGTTTTATTATTTACTTCAGTATTTTCCCTCTAAAACAAACAAAGAAAAACAAAAACAAAAAAAGAACTGGCTAGCTCGTATGGTGTAAACGAAACTTGTATCTTAGATCAGAAAGAAACAAAGGAAACTTGTGTAAGAACAAGCAAGACCGACACAAATGAAACATGAAATTGATTAGGTCCATTGCAGTTATGAAAAGAAACGGTGGCCTACTTCTCCATCTCACTGTTCAAGTCAATGAGTCATATTGGACCCTCATCCAAGATTTCTTCGTTTCTTGGCTTTATCTTTGTCGAACGGTTTCATTTTCCATTCATACATGAGTAATTGTTTAGCCAAAAAGAGATGCTAAATCATGATATATGAATTCTCCAAAAAAAAAAATTTAAGAAAAAGAAGAAGAGGTTCTCTGAGTTCTGGATTCCTTCTTGCTTCTTAAATCCTGCTCTTCCTTCGATCAAAAAAAAAAGGAAAGGATGTTATTTTAAGAAAATTTCATTCTGGCTGCATTGCGTCATTCTCCAAGCCTACTAAGAAAAGGGAAATGAGCATTCAAGAGCATGTATGCTTGAGAGAAACGTTATCTCCAAAATCATTGCATTTATGTTGGGAATTACAAGTCACAAACAAGTTAAAAGAGTTAAAGATAAACTTAAAAACCATGGCTAGTCTTCAGAAAAAGAAACATTGCAATAACAGGTAAATAACATTTAAAGCTAATGTAGAGGTGTGGGCTACAATTCTTAGGTTAATCTTTCTTTGCTTTATTACTTTAAAATTTTCTTATTTTCTAGATACTAGTATATGCTTGCCAATGTTGATACCACGGAGACATTTAAAGTCTTGATGGGAGTGAGATGTCAAAGTTCAACCCTTGCCTTCCACCTTATCACTTAATTGTGGTTGTCACTTTGAAGTGACTTCCTCCAACAGGATATCGTTGCGACAAAAAAAAATAGATAGTAGTATATGCTTGGTTTTGCAAGCTGTGATCCATGCCTCCATGTCACATTAGCGTGCTACATTAGGCTAAACCTTCGTACACCAAAATCATTAACGATTAAAGTGCATTGCCCATATGTTTGAAAATTTTCTTTAGCATTTATCTTGAAAACAAAAGTAGCCCCCATCTCCTCCCCCAAACTTCAATATATTGCCCCACTGCCCCACAACTTCAATCATATCAGATCTAGCATCACAAGTTTATCTGAATAAAAACTTGTAATGCTATTGGATGGATAAGTTGAGAGCATTTATCTTGATTGTTTGCTAATGTTTCAGCTGAAGTTAATAAAAACATTCGTGTTCTATATTTAGTGAAAAATAAAACAAATCTTTCATTCTATTTCTATTAACCCCAAAAAACAAAAAGATAGGAAAAACAGAAAATACCACAAAAAAAAAACAATATGTTTTTTCTTTGATTGACACTTCTAAATTCTGAAGACAGTTTGTATTTAGCCTAGACTTTGGCATTAGAAAACTGATATATTTGTCTTTACAAGAAACCACTACGTGCACAGATGTCAAAACTCTAAACCATTTTTGTGCATACGTGCATTAGGCATGCAAATGGTAAGTATATATTTTTTAATACTAGTTACACTATTTAATATTTCCTCACAGGAATCTCACATCACATGTAACTGGAAGAATACATATTCTTTTCCATTCTAGGGGAGAACTAACCCTCATTGGAGATGTTGATTATATCCAGTTTCTTGAGGTGCAAACGATATAAGGGTAAGGCTAAGGCTATTCTCCTTCGCAGGTGGAAGATGAGTTGAAACATGAAAGACATTTTGCCAAAAAGAACCCTAAAAAGAAACAAAAAGAAAAAGAAAAACCTTTGATTATTTACCGAACTCTGATGATATTACAAGGAAAATTAATTTGGTTTTTTTTTTTTTGGGGGGTTTCAAAATAACTAAAATTTCAAGCACTCTACTGCTTTGAGCAAAGTATTTTTCAAGGCTTTTAGTCACTTTTTGTTTGTGCATATATATATATATATGTGTGTATGTATGTATATACACACAACCCATTCATGTATGTAAGGAGGATATTGGCCTCAATGGAATAAAAAAACTAGAATCCAAACAATTGATATATTTGACAAAGAGAATATAAACAGAATCCTTTCATGTTTGTCTCCTAAGATTAGACTGGACCCTTGTCCTAAACTTATAATTTAGGAACTAAAAGGGCCCTTTAAATGTAAATTGGCTAGACTATGGCCATGCGTGTAGATGACATATTTTAAGGTTTCTTCCATGGGATCACAGACCAAATAAAATACAAAAAATTACCGACCATAATTGATTCAGAACTTGTCATCAACAGTTTTGGTTTTGAAGTAACTTGATCCATCATGCAAACATATCCCAAAAAAAAAAAACATGTAATAGATTCATCATTTTGATATGATTGCCAAGCCAAATACTGACCATCCACTATAAGCTAATTAAGGTTGATGACACATAGGTCCTTTAGGACAGATAATCACGTATGAGCTTTTCATTTATGTAGCAGGTTCCTGTAAATTTCATGACAAATTCTTTGGTACATTTAATGGCTTTGTTTGATTGCTGGATCAAGTATTTGTGAAAGTGATGGGCACGTCATATGCGTTGTTTGATGGAGATATGACTTGAACTTTGGCTTTGCTTCGGTTGGAGGTCAACCCAATGGCCAAAAAGCTGCGGAGAAATCAATTCAATTCCCAGCTTCACAAGAGGATTCAAAACCTGTCAGTACCAGTGATTCTATGATTTGTGCACCAATGACTCATCTGTAAACCTGATTAAGGACCCAATTAAGGTGAGCATCACAACTTGAGAAATTATGAATAATCAATCGGGTTGGTTAATTATTACCTTTTTAGACTCCAATTTGTCTTGGATAATAAAAATAGAATAATTTTGTTAATCATGGAACCACATCTGCAACAAGTGAAGAACTAATAAAAGACGAAGAAGGGTTTTTCCATATACAAAGAATTGATAGCATACTTAGGAAAGTTGTGAGTGGGAACATTAAAAAGTTCTAGGAATCCATATATCTTCTCAGCACATGAAATCTTGACGTAGGACAATGGCATCATCAATCAACAAACCATATGATGAATCATCAAACTCCAATTAAATCGTTAATTATGTATACACTTTCACATTGTTGTAGTATGATATAATCATTATAAGTGTGTAGTGAATCATGCATCTGCAATATTCCAAGCTGCTCACTGATGTAAAATGAAATGAAGAGTACAAAATAAAAGTAATGTTGGGGCCGCAGAACGTAGAAATTTTTTATTCTAATTTCCCTACATGCACCTTCTCCGCTTCTTAAATTCCATCTCATTCCTGCTAAAAAAATTTCTTTTTGAAAAGGAGTACAAAATGAAAGTAGGGACTCTACAGGAATTTGTATCTTTTTTTTTTTTTTTTTGCTGACGGAGTGGGTGTCCGGGTCAAGTCCTTAAAGAATTTGTATCTGATGCTATCAAATTATGCTAAAACCCTCGTGCAAATGTGCTGGCATTCCAAAGGGGCAATGAGTTGACTTGGTAACAGGATGTAACAGGATGTGACTAATTCTAATGAATTGGCTCAACAATCTTTTCTCATGGATGAATGCACTAATCACGGGGGATTTCTTGCCTCTATGTTTCAGGGCCTACAATATACTAGCTGGCTAATCACGTCCTTAAATTTGAGCAGGCTTACAATCACGTCAAAGGATCCAACAAGATATGCTGATGCTCTCTTGCATATCTGCTGTTTTCACACGCCCCATAACAGGACCTTCAAACTTGATTGTAAAGCTTTAGCCTCAGTGCCATGAATCATCCGTGAAAGTCTCTAGCCGATATAAAAAAAATTGGGATTTTCTCAAAGGACTTAAGAAATGGGAAAAAAAATTAAGAACACACACTTTACATCGGCCTACATAATTTTAGAGAATTGAAAAGTTCAAGAACGTATTTTTATACGATGAGAAAAATCATGAGTATGTTTTTTCATGCACTGAAAATGTAGTAATTTTTTTAGGATTTTTCTGATGAGTCGTTAACACATCTAATGTTCACCTAATCTACCAAATATATACACATACTTACAATTATTACCCTCCCTTGTATTTATACACTTTTCTTATTTAATCTTACCTATACTCCCTTATAATTATTTACTTTTTTAATTAATCTTACATTTCAAAAAATATAACACTTGAAAACAACAAAAAATTTATACACTGTATAGGAAAACTTGCACTTTCTTTATATATATACATAATTGAAAAAAAAAATCTCATCCTTTCCAAACTTAC